CTAAATAATCCTGGGGATCCTCAGTAGATGCACTGCTGAAAGTAGTAGTGAAGATCTTGGTAAACCAATCCAGCCTCCATAAAGCATCGACAAACATAATTGCTCTATTACCGGTCTGAGCTACCATACTCGACTGAACTGCTCCAACTGGCTGAACCGCTGGAGTCTGAATCTGGGGAGATACCTGCTCCGGACTGCAAGTAGCAGGAGTCTGGGCTCCTCCTCCAGCCTGAGAGGTGGTTGGTGCTACAGGAAGCAAGCCTGTCTGGGTGACACTCTCCATAAGGCCCACTAGACGGACCAGAGCATCCTGAAGAACTAGGGTGGCAATAAACCCCTTTGGGACCTGAGCTGGGCCCACTGGAATTGCTAGGGCCAGAACCTCATCATCAAAGTCAACCTGAGGCTCTGCCATTGGTGCTGCTGCTCGGGGCTGAGCTCTGCCCCTACCCCAACCTCTAGCACAGCCTCGGGCTCGCCCTTTGCCCCTCGTGGGAGCTACTGCTGGGGGCTCAGGCTGATAGTCAGTGGATGAGGAAGCACGTGTTCTTGCCATCTACGAAAGAACATAGTAGAAGTTCAATTAGCATTGAGAACCAAACCGCACGACATGAGAGAATAAATGTGAAGTTGTTCCTAACTCTGTAGCCTTTGGGGGATAATACAGACGTCTCCATACCGATCCCTCGGACTCTACTAAGCTTGTCTGTGAACTGTGAGACACATGTAACTTAGAGCTCTAATACCAACTTGTCACGACCCGAATTTCCCACCCTCGGGAGTCGTGATGGCGCCTACTAATGTGAGCTAGGCAAGCCAAACCTTTAATCTAATTACTTCATTAACCAATTATTTCTTTTTAACAAATATAAGACGATAATATGGTAACAGCGGAAATCCAAATTTTAGCGGAAGACAACAATAAGATTTATGAAAAATGCATCTATTACAAATACTTAAGCCTTAACCACCCAAAACCTGGTGTCACTGTATCATAGACTGTCTAAGATTTCTACATACAAGGTCTGAAGAAATAACAGTACACTATTTCTGAATAAAAGGAAAATGAAATAGGAAATAGGGATAGAGGGAGATGCTAGGGCCTGTGGACGCCTGCAAGTCTACCTTGGATCTTCGCGTGGACTGAAGGTAGCCTCCACACTATGGTCCAAAAGCTGCTCCGGGACCTACACATAATGCAGAGTATAGTATTAGCACAACCGACCTCATGTGTTGGTAAATGTCTAGCCTAACCCCGGTGAGGTAGTGACGAGGCTAGGACCAAACTACCAAATAAACTTGTGCAGTTCAAATATATATACAACGGAAAAGAAATACAGACATAAACAAATAAAGATAGGAGGGGGAAACATGCTTCGGGGAATAACAGGTAAAATAGAATATCAAGAGAATTATAAGGGAATCAAAATCAACCACTAACAAGAATAAGGAAAACAAAGGCAGATTTCACTTTCTTTTCACATCTTGTTGCAGGCGTGCAACCCGATCCCAATTCCTGTATCTCGTGGCAGGCGTGCCACCCGCTCCCATTTCATTTATCTTGTGGTAGGCATACCACTTGCTCCCATTTCATTATATCTTGCCGTAGGCGTACCACCCGCTCTCATTTCATTTTATCTTGTGGTAGGCGTACCACCCATTCCTATTTCATTATATCTTGTGGTAGCCGTACCACCCGCTCCCACTTACAAGCCAACAATAATCACAAGGAATCCCGAAAAGGGAACAAGAGTAATATAACAACTTCCCGGCAAGGGAACAATGATATTTCAACAACATCCCGGCAAGGGAACAGTACTATCAAAACAAACATCGCGGCAAGGGAACAATGGTGATAATAACATATGAAGCGTAATAAACCACAACAGAGTCATAACAATTATAATACAAGACTCACGGGCATGCTTGACACCAACGTATAGATACTCGTCACCATGCCTATATTTCGTACTCCACAATTAACATGTAGCAAATAAGACACAACTCCTAATCCCTCAAGCTAAGGTTAGACCAAACACTTACCTCGATGCCACAAACACAATTCACCTTTCAATTATAGCTTTATCCCTTGATTCCACCACCAATTCGCTCGTATCTAGTCACAAGTTACTTAATTACATCAATAAACGCTAAATGAATCAACCCCAATGCATGAAAAATGAGTTTTCTAAAGTTTTACCCAAAAAGTCAAAAGTCGCCCCCGAGCCCACATGGTCAAAACCCGAGGTTCGAACCAAAACCCGATTACCCATTCCCTCATGAACCCAAATATATAATTTATTTTGAAATCGGACCTCAAATCGAGTTCCAAATCCCCAATTTTTGAAAAACCTAGGTTTTACCCAAAATACTCAATTTCCCCCATGAAAATTATTGATTTTGAGTTGAAATCGTGTGAAAAGATGTTAATGATTGAAGAAAACGAGTTAGAAATCACTTACCAATGTTTTGGAGAAGAAAGGTTATTTGAAAAATCGCCTCTGATGTTTTGGGGTTTTGAAAAATAAAAAATAACTGAAAATACCATCTTAAGATACTACTTTCAGATGCCCTGTGCGGACTGCACAAAATCAACTGCGGCCGCACAGCTCCCATGTGGACTGCAGTGATATACTTTAGTATTTTGACCATAACTTTCTCTACAGATGTCTAAATTGTGATTTCTTTACCTTTATGGAAACTAGACACAAAGGGCTACAACTTTCATGTTTGAATCATCTCAAAATTCCTTGTAGATCAAAAGATATAGGCTTCCGAAGTCGACCAGTGAAGTATTCCTCACCGCGGACCGCACGAAATCTAGTGCGGCTGCAAAGCCCTCACCGCGGCAACATTCCTTTTTGTGCGGACCACACTGGTTTGTTCAGAGGCCTTCCACTTCTCTGAACCTGCAACAACTATGTTTTTAAGCCTAAGACATCCTAGAACCTACCCGAAACTCACCCGAGCCATCGGAACTCCAAACCAAGTTTGCATACTAACTCAAAAACATCATATGGACCTACTCGTGCGATCATATCATCAAAATAACATGTAAAATCATGAATTGAACCTCAAAACTCAATATTTTCATCAAGAACGCTCAAAGTTCATAACTCTTCAACCGAAAGTCCAACTCACGTCAAATAAACTCCATTTTCACCAAATTTCATAGTTATCTTTCAAATACTATAACAAGTTTGTAACGGACTCCGGAACCAAAATACGGGCCCGATAACAATGGTTTCAAATATTTTTTTTTTATTTCTTAGATAATTCAGTAAAACAATTTCTTTCAAAAATTTATTTCTAAGGCTTGGGATCTCGGAATTCATTTCCGGGCATACGCCCAAGTTCCATATTTTACTGCGGACCTTCCGGGATCGTCGAAACACGGATCCGGGTCCGTTTGCTCAAAATGTTGACCAAAGTCAACCATAATTAAATTTTAACTCTAGAATTTCTATTTCTCATATTTTCACATAGAAGACTTTCCAAATATAGGTCTGGACCACGCACGCAAATCAAGGTGAGGTAAAAGGGTGGTTTTTAGGCCTCAGAACATTGAATTCACTTTCAATACAAGTGATGACCTTTTGGGTCATCACATAAAGCACATCCATTGTACCCTGATGGTTGTGAGATCACTCCATATAAATAAAGATCCATTCCGACCTCATGAAAATAATGAAGAACTTATTGGTCCTGAAGTACCATATCTTAGTGCAATTGATGCACTAATGTATCTTGCTAACACTACAAAGCGTGACATAACTTTTTCAGTTAATGTCTTAGCAAGATATAGCTCCGCTCAAGGTGACATTGAATGAAATCAAGCACATATTGCGTTGTCTAAGGAGGATTACCGATGTGGGCTTATTTATGGCAATGATTGCAATACCAATCTTGTTGGTTATGCCGATGTGGGGTATTTATCTAACACACACAAGGCTTGATCTCCAACATGCTATGTGTTTACATATGGAGGCAATGCCATATCTTGGCGATCGACTAAGCAATTAATCGTGGCTACTTTATCTAATCATGCTGAGATAATTTCTATTTTTGAAGAAAGTCGAGAATGTGTATGGTTGAGGTATATAATACATATTATTCGAGACAAATGTGGTTTGAAGTGTTACAAACTACTCACGATTTTGTATAAAGATAATACAACATGCATAGCCCAATTGAATGAGGATTCATAAAAAGGAGCTAGGACAAAGCACATTTCACCAAAGTTATTTTTCATATATGATCTTCAAAAGAATGGTGCTATCAATGTGCAACAGATTCGTTCAAGTGATAATATGACTGATTTGTTCACCAAATCTCTACCGGCGTCAACCTTCAAGAAACTAGTATACAAGATTGGGATGTGAATGATCAAGGATGTGAATTGATGCTCTCATCAGGGGGAGTTAATACGTGTTGTACTCTTTTTCCCTTACAATATTTTGTCCTACTGGATTTTTCCTTGCAAGGTTTTTAACGAGGCAACTAAAAGGCGTATTTCCAAACATGTGTACTCTTTTTCTTCACTAGAATTTTTTTCCATAGGGTTTTTTCCTAATAAGGTTTTAACGAGGCATATTATCTTGGACATACAAGGGGGAGTGTTATGATAAATATCACATTATGTTGGATGTCTACTATTCTTCCATGATCTTCATCTCAAATGCTTAATGACATATTTTGTATGTTCAATGACATATTCTATGACATATTTTCTTCACTTTTTATGCCTATATAAAGGCCTTGTAATAGATAGGAAAATACACATAATTAAAAAATAAAATCTCTTCCTTTTTTCTATCTCTATTTCTTGTTCATGTTTTACTAAATTGCTTTTATTTCTTGTTCATGTTTTACTAAATTTCATAACAGCTACCAAATTTTATAGTGGAATTACGTTTTATAATAATGGTAACCAATGTCTATTTTCTTTTTTAATTCAAAAGTTGCCTACCTCCCCTCTATATAGCGCCTAGGACTCCTCAAGACCAACACTAGGTACCACTGTTTCAGCCTTCAGCCGTCCACTCCTACAGAGAAATCAAACAATTAAGATGGCAAAGAAAACCCAAAATGACCTCGAAAATTCCGACCCATTGCCAAACTCCGGTGTTGTTGAGTGGCCCTGTAAACCCACTGCTGAATCGTCAGGTTGGCCTTCCTGCTGGCCAAATGACAGTTCAAAATCAAAGTTACAAACCCCTTTGCCCACCGCCGAAGACGAGGCCGCGAACAAGGCTCAGCTTCCGGCATTGCTCGCTGTTTCCGAATATTTGAAGCCTACACTCACCCTAGACGACGATGAAGATGATTTCCCCGAGTATATAACTGACGACGAGGATGATTTCGACAGTGAGGATGAGGAAGAAGAGGGTTTTAAAGACTACGATTTTTTCATGAAATTGTTCAAGGGAGATAATGGTTTGAGAGAGTATTATGAGAGAAATCGTGAGAATGGAGAGTTTTGTTGTCTCGTGTGTTGTGGGGTGCGTGAGAAAGGGTGGAAGAGGTTTAAGAACTGTGGGGCTCTTGTTCAGCATGCCATAACCATTGCTAAGACAAAAAAGAGACGGGCTCATCGGGCTTATTGTCAGGTCGTTTGCGATATCCTTGGTTGGGACTTTAATCGCCTCCCCTCCATTGTACTTTCTGCAGGTGATAAGGCTCAGGTAACTTTTTACTGTTCGTATTGGTTTCAATTCGACATAGATGGCTTTGGTCTAATGGTAAGATCACAGCGCCTGATGTGCATGTTAGGCTATGTTGGGCACACGCCATGGGTTAGAACCCTGCTGCATACAAAAGCCTGGTATTTAAGTAGAGAAGGGTAAAGGGACGAGCCCATTATCCACCTAAAAATAGAAGAAATTGGACATAGGTATAGTGAACTCAAAGTCAACTAATTTGGGATTGAGTCAAATTTGATTTTAAACCCATCCCGAATAGATAGATAGGCAGTTACATAATATCAAGATGCTGAGATTGTTTGAAAGTTTTAGTTGG